GGAAATTTACTCGATGTTGTAGCAAAGATAAAGTCTGTCCAAATGATATACATTTTCCAGATTATCCTGCATATTTGAAAAGATTAATGACAAATGAAGATTCTGACAGTAAAAATTTCATGGAAAATATTCTTTCCATAAATAGTTCTTTTGCTTTTGCTTCCATGGGTGCAAATATTGCATCGCCCTCAGGATATGGGCCATACTGTTTTAGAATACACGGACAAGTTTATCACCGCACTGGAACTTTACATCCTTCGGATGGTATTTCTCAGAAGTTTGCTCAACTCTATATTTTTGGATACAGCCGAAGCTACAAGTAAAAGATTATCTATGCCAGAAAACCAGGGCTGCTCAGAAAGACTCATGATCAACATCAACAACCTCATGCATGACATAAATGAATTAACAAAATTGTACAAGATGCTACATGAGGTAGAAAAGGAAGCCCAATCTGAAGCAGCAGCAAAAGGTATTGCTCCCACAGAGGTAACAATGGCAATTAAATACGATCGTAACAGTGACCCAGGTAGATATAATTCTCCCGGTGTAACCGAGGTTGCTGTCATATTCAGAAACGAAGATGGAGAACCTCCTTTTGAAAGGGACTTGCTCATTCATTGTAAACCAGATCCAAATAATCCAAATGCCACTAAAATGAAACAAATCAATATCCTTTTTCCTACATTAGATGCAATGACATATCCTATTCTTTTCCCACATGGTGAAAAAGGCTGGGGAACAGATATTGCATTAAGACTCAGAGACAACAGTGTAATCGACAATAATACTAGGCAAAATGTAAGGACACGAATCACACAAATGCAGTATTATGGATTTCATCTCTCTGTGTGGGACACGTTCAATCCTATTTTAAATGCAGGAAAATTAACTCAACAGTTTATCGTGGATTCATATTAAAAAATGGAGGCCAATCGGATAAATTTCATCAAAGCAAACCAATCTAAGTTGAGAGCTGAAAAATTTAGTAGTTTGATGGATTATCTCAAATCTAGATCTGAAAATGACAATGTGCCGATTGGTAAAATGATAATACTTCCATCATCTTTTGAGGATAGTCCCAGAAATATGCAGCAGCGATATCAGGATGCTATGGCAATTGTAACAAAGTATGGCAAGCCCTATTTATTCAAAACCATGACATGCAACCCTAAATAGGCAGATATTGCAAACAATTTACAATGCTGGCAAAAAGTTGAAAACAGACCTGACTTGGTAGCCAGAGTTTTTAATATTAAGCTGAATGCTCTTTTAATTGATATCTGTAAATTCCATTTATTTGGCAAAGTAGTAGCTAAAATTCATGTCATTGAATTTCAGAAACGCGGACTGCCTCACGCTCACATCCTCTAATTAATTCCCTTTCAATGTGCACGAATTTCGTGCACCAGGCCACTAGTTCACTATAAGCAGAATCCTCTGATCTGCTGACCAAGGCCGATTCCACGAGGAATGGGGCTCCTGCCTCCCTGCTGTCAGGGTTTGGGGTGTGCGTGAACGGGATTGAGGGCTATCAGGGCACGGACAGAAAGCTGACCAACAGCCGATTCCATGAGGAATGGGGCTCCCTCCTCCCTGCTGTCTGGGTTCCGGTGCGAGTATTCGGCTCCCCTCTCCCTGCTGTCAGGGCCTAGGGTGCGGGTGAATGGGATTCGGGGCTGTCAGGGCGTGAACAGCAAGCTGACCAACGGCCGATTCCATGAGGAATGGGGCTCCTTTCTCCCAGCTGTCAGGGTCTGAGGTGCAGGTGAACGGGATTTGGAGCTGTCGGGGCGCCAACAGCTACCTGACCAACGTCCGATTCTGCAAGGAATGGGGCTCCCACCTCCCTGCTGTCAGGGTCTGGGGTGCGGGTATCCGGCTCCCTCCTGCCTCCTGTCAGGGTCAGGGGTTTGGGTTGAATGGAATTTGGGGCTATCAGGCGCAACAGCAAGTCTGGGTCAGTGCTTGTCATAGCTACCGGCTGGTGGTCTGGCTGTTGGTTGTTCTGGTTTTACACCATAACGGTTGCTGGGCTTTTATTATATAGGATATCCCCAAACTGAAACAATTTGGTTAACCAAATCTTGGTATATCCAAGCCATGGAATACCACTGAGCAGTAAAAAGGAATAAACTGTTGATACACACAACTTGGAAGGATCTCAAGGGAATTAATTAGGTAAGGTGAAGAAGTCCAAACTCTAGAGGTTAAGTATTATGTGATTCCCTTTATATAGCATCCTTGAAATGAAAAAACTATAGTGTGTGGGACAGATTAGTGGTAGTCAGGGATTAGGTAGGAGGTAAGAGGGAGGTAGGTGGCTGTGGCTATAAAAGAATAGCACAAGGGGACAAACTCTCCTGTACCTTGACTGCGGCAGTGGTCACCCGATATTGCGGAGACATAAATACACACACAGACACACATACACAAGTACAAGTCAAACTGGAGACATCTGAATAAGATCAGTGGATTGTATCAAAGTCTACATTCTGGTTGAGTATTTACTAGTTATGCAAGATTTTACCACTGGAGGAAAATGGGAGACGGGTATATGAGATCTGTCTCATTTCTTACAAATGCATCTGAATCTACAACTATCTTATATAATAAAAGCCTAATATGCAAATCAACCAAACGGTGAAATGACCGGTCACTATTATGTGCACTGACCACCAGGGGGCAGACGCTCAATGCAGGAGCTGCCCCCAGCCAACAGGCCCCAGGCCAGCCAAGATGGGTGCCAGCGGGGGTCCCCCCAATTGCCCCACTGGTTGCCCCGCAAAGGGAGGCGACTAGCGGCGGCAGGGCAATCAGGAGGCGGGGCTGGCAAGAGGGCTGCGCCAGGCTGGCCAAGGCAGGTGTCAGCAGGGCCCCCCCCCCCCGATTGCCTCACCGGTCACCCCACAGATCGGCCTTGATGGCCGGCCAGGCCTAGAAAACCTACCCATGAATGAGTTTCATGCATCGGGCCTCTAGTCTTAAAATAAAAAATTTAGTCCTGGCTGGTGTGGCTCAGTTGGTTGCACCAAAGGGTCGTGGGTTTGATCCCTGGTTGGGGCATGTATAGGAGGCACCAGTCGATGTTTCTCTTTCTCTTCCTCCCTGTCTTAAAAAAACCCAAAACTTCAGCAGATGTAAGAGAATGGTATTGCTGACAAAAATGCAAGTAACCCGGATTTAATTATGAAGGAGTAGCAGGCATCAGACAAACTCAAAAACTGGCCTATCCTATATAATAAAAGTGTAATATGCTGACCGCTTGACCAGTCGCTATGACACGCACTGACCACCAGGCAGATGCTCCGACCGGTAGGTTAGCTTGCTTCTGGGGTCCAGCCAATCAGGACGGAGCGAGAGGGCTGGACACGCCCTGGAGCCCTCCTGCAGTCCCTCCCCGGCCGGCCAGCCACGATTGGCCCCGATCAGGGTCTGCTGGCCAACCTCCCATGGTCCCTCCCCAGCTGGCCGGCCCCCATTGGCCCCAATCGGAACTGGTGAGACGGCCCCAATTGGCCCTGATCGCCGGCCAGGCTGAGGGACCCCACCTGTGCACCGGGTCTCTATTAACTCTTCATAAGTGTCAATGTCATGACACAGAAAAAGAGACATGACTAGTGCATGCAACATAAAATCTGATAGAATAATCCAGGGTTTTCTTTGCTATAAAAGACATCATTAGGACAATTTTACAAAACCCAGAAAAGATCTATAGATCAGTTAATAGTATTGTATTAGAAAATACATAATGAAGTATTTAAGTTTGGGGCACCATATCCCAAACTTACTCTCAAATGGTTAAAAAATGAATATACACATAGAAAAGGAAATATGGTAAAATGTTAACAGCTGTAGCATCTGGGCAAGGGAATACTTTAGACTATTCTTGTAATTTTTCCGTAAGTCTGAAATTATAAATAAAAATTATAATAAAAATTTTTAAAGGGGTACAAGATACTACACAGAGCCTGGTAGACAAACATTCAATAGGTAGTTTTCAGATATTTTATACTGATTTTCAGGTGAAGAAACAAGTTGAGAAGCTAATAAACTGTCAGGAGGAACTATGGCAAATTGGTGGTAAGGTCAGGATCTAACTCAGGTCCTCACATCTGTTCCAGACCGAAGTCTGTGCTCCTTTCACGAGAATGAGGAAGGATGAAAATGACACCCCTCCTTCCCACCCAAGGATGTGTATGGACTGGTTAAGGAGAGGATGGCGTCATATAAAAGTTGGCTTCAAACCACCCTCCAAGCAATTCACTTCTTAGTTTCCTATGAGAAAAGCCCGAGACTGTGACAGGGACTTAACACTCGAACTCAGCTCTCAGGGAGGACGTTCTGCTTACAGCACATCAGACAATCACGTAACAAACGCACTGAGTCCCATTTGTGGGGGCTCCTCTACAAGCGGCACCCTGCTTCCCCGTGTCTCTGTTCACCCGTTTGAAGCCCACCAAGCGCCCGGCTGCGCTGGTCAATGGGCTATCTAGGACGGCTATCGTCATACAGCTCTTCTACCCGTCCTTCCCCACGGCTACGCTTAGATAGGATAGATAACTGATTTTTAATAGTTTTATTTTTTTTTCTGAATAGGTAATACACAGTTCAAAATTCTCATGGAAAGAACTGTGTATCGTGAAAGGTTTCCCTCCTCCACTCTCCATTCCCCTCCCACTGACAACCAGTGCTCCCAGTTTAAATACGCAACTTTCTGTATTTCTTCATGTTACTAGAATTAGCTAGATCACATTATGATATTAAGCTAACCATCTACCTAAAATACTCCAAGTGATCACTATAATTTAGTAATTTCCCCAGGCAGGCATTTAAAGTATCCTTAAAGTACTTGTGTGGATATGTTTTCAACATTAAAATGACTGAAGGCTACAACTTTTTTAAAAAGTGAAAATATATTTGTATTATGTACGATCACAACAGATAGCTACGAACTCCACAACTGGTAAGCATCAATCACTAGCGTACTGGCAGCTCACCTGGTTCCTGTCGCGTGCATTTGTGTATCTGATCTTCTGGATGAAGTAGAATATGAGCCACGCTGAAGAAATAATCATCAACACGATGAAGGATATTGACACGAAGACGAGAGAGCCTCGGCTGAAGTTCTTGGGCGGCATTCGCGTTCCGACAGCTATTGTCATTTGTACAGAGATGTTTTTCTCCAGGTAACTCAAAATATCCTTACCCCTCAGCTCTGTAATCATGACAGCAATAATATCTCCAGTGCCTGTAATGTAAAATAAATACATATACATTTAAAAATCACAGGAACATCAAATACATAAAAATGCTTAGAAAAACTATACTACAATTTCTGCTAAAAGCAAGAGTTTTCAGATTCAACTTTTTAAATGAAATGAAGTTACAGGTGGGTATACGTATGCTGGCACCACCCGAGAACAGGAATTCGTTTTGTAGCACTTAAGGCTTAGATTTAAAGCATAAACAATTGCAGGGTTAAGAGCCATATTAACTTGTATTACAACTATATTTAAAGAAAGTATATCAGTCAAATGTGAAAACAGACAATACAGAATATGCAATAAAATCATGGCAGGTTTTCTTTGTTAAATGTTTTCCATCTTAAAATGCTCTTTAGGAAGTCCAACTCCTTCAGAAAAGGAAAAAAATGCCGTTATTTATAGTACAAAAATTGGTACTTTTCACACTAATCATTCTTAGAAACATTTCTGTGACACCTGTTGTGTAGAACTAGTACAAGAAATAGAAAGAAAACAGGCGGTGCAGCTATATAATAGCACTGAATGTTAGGACACAAATCTGATAACTGAATTAACAACAGCAAAATGCCAAATGGTGGTATCTTTTATTACGAACAGTTGAGCCTGGCTGGCATGGCCCAGTGGTTGGTTCGACCTATGAACCAGGAGGTCTCAGTGTGATACCTGGTCAAGGCACATGCCTGGGTTTCAGGCTCAGTCCCTAGTAGGGGTGTGCAGGAGACAGCCAATCGATGATTCCCTCTCATCATTGATGTTTCTATATCTTTCTCCCTCTTCCTTCCTCTCTAAAACCAATAAAAATACATTTTTTAAAAAAAAAGAACACTGAAACTAACTTTGGTCCTACATCTAGACTGACTGGAGGAAGGCTGCTTTCTAGCTTACCCCGGAACCCTGCTGGAAATCAAACTCTTCCTGAGATAAATCCAACCTCCAACACTCTGGACGAGTTTGGTATCAAGCTGCTTCCAGCTCCTAACAGCTGTCAGAGGTTCTGCCACAGTCACAGACTATTGAGTCCTACATAATAAAAGCCTAATATGCTAAGTATCTAGTCATCCGTTCAACCAATCAAAGCATAATATGCTAATGCTATGCTAAGGCCGCTCAACCGCTCACTATGACATGCACTGACCACCAGGGGGCAGACAGTCGACCAGTCGACCAGTTACTATGACGTGCACTGACCACCAGGGGGTAGACGCTCCAACCAGTAGGTTAGCTTGCTGCTGGGGTCTGGCTGATTGGGACTGAGCGAGATGGGCCAGACACGCCCTGGAGCTCTCCTGTGGTCCCTCCCCGGCCCTGATCGTGCACTGGTGGGATCCCTCGGCCTGGTCTGTGCCTTCTCACAATCTGGGAACCCTCGGAGGATGTCAGAGAGCCGGTTTCAGCCTGATCCCACAGGCCAGGCCGAGGGACCCCTCTGGTGCACAAATTCATGCACCGGGCCTCTAGTTTAATTATAAAGATGTTTTGAAGTTGCACTTCTAGTCACCTAGTTCTTTCACTTACATAATTTACTGTAGTTCAGTAAAGGCAGGTGACTCTCCTATGCATAGCACGAAATTACAGTCCGGAAAAAGGGAAGCTTTTTTACCACCAATCCAGCTGTGATTAATTGTCCTGTCATAAACTGAAGCTGTCTGGGCAACATGCAGCTTTTACAATTTGCTTTTTTCAAAGAGCCCCAAAGACTCCGGCCAGTAGAGGAAGGAGAATAAACATTTTATTTTGGGGAAGAGAAAATTATAACCACTTACACAAATTTGAATAAGGTCTGTACATATAAATGTAGACCACCAAGACAAAATACCCCCCATAACTTGCCCTTTCAAAGGCTTCTTCAATGAATACTACTACTGCATATTTACTTTATACGTTTAATTTATGATATTTAACTAGAAGGACTATCCTTGTATCATGTGCAGTCAAAGATCACATGCAACTGAAAATAAACTCAAAATAGCTAATTAAAAGTAGTTTCATGAAAAATTTAATCCAATGGAACATATACCTTTGTATTATCTTATTCAAAATTGTGCCATCCACTTTATCAGAACAGCAATTCATCAGAATACTGATTAAAAACCCCAAAACAAAATGAAAACTGCAAATTTAAAGCAAGCAACAAAGTTAGCATCTTAATTATCTTTCTGAAATAAAAGTTCTGATCAGTAAGTTAGAGCAAATCATAATATTATGCTAAACCATTTAAACTTCAATTTAGAAACCTTAGGTCTGTGCTTTTAAAATGTTGTTCGACAGGCAATGGTCTGTGGTGTAAGATACGAGGTATGGCTATAAAGTAACTGAGACGGATCCCACACACGACACACGACAATCAGTCTCATTGCTTTATAATCACACCAGGTACAAGCAGGGTTTTAGAAATCAGTGCTGAGGCTCCCTCCTGAAGACTCAAGCTGGAAAAGGAGCAGGGAAAGCTGCACAGGGAGCCAGCAGGGGAAGCAATCCAGTCATCTCATTCACCCAGAGAACACTAAATGAGCACCACCTCATTTCAACTGGGAAGCTGTGCGGGAGAAGTGTTTAATTATTCCAGCCATCCCTTCAGCAATGTTTATTGAGCACATACTATAAGCAAGGCTCCTTAACATTCACCTTCCACAGAGAGTGGAAAATTACCTACTGTGAAATAAAAAAAAAAAATATTTATCTCTACCCCTGGTTCCTGGCACAGGGCACCTAAAACCCTTGAAATTTCCTAAGTGATAGCATTAGGAACCTCCTTTGTCTTGGCCTTTGATACTGGTTCCTGACACAGAACTTAATCCCTCGGAATTTTCTGGGTGATAGGAGAGTCTTTTGTTCTAATGAGTCCTCTCCTGATGGCTCCTGGATAGCTGGAGGATGGGGACTGGTCACCAGTAAAACCAAGCCAGGGTGAGACGCTTGGAGCTTCCTCGGGGGAGGGGAGAGGGCCTGGAGACTGACTGAATGACCCATCAGGGCCAGGTGACGAAGACGCCACACAAACCTTGGGTTGGAGAGCTTCGGGGTTGGTGAACACGTGCAGGTGTTGGGAGGGTGGGGTGTCAGAGCCCTTTCCCCATACCTTGTCTTCGGTAAGTAAGTGTTCATCAGGTTATTTACCTGTATCCCTTACAGGGGTGGGGAACCTTTTTTCCTGCCAAGGGCCATTTGGATATTTATAACATCATTTGCAGGCCATACAAAATTGTCAACTTAAAAATTAGCCTGCGGTATTTGGTCAAACATTTAATTAACTCACCCCAACGCCTTGGCATGGCCAGGCCCAAGGAGGGCCTTACACGGCCCAGGGGCCACACGTTCCCCACCCCTGCCTTATTATATCCTTTGTAATAAACCAGTGCATGTAAGTATTTCCCCTAGAAAGGGGTTGTGGAAACCTCAATTTATAGCCAGCTGGTCAGAAGTATAGGTGACAACCTAGGACTTGTGAAGGTTTCTGAAGGTGTGTGTATGTGAGGGGCGGGGCCTTATGGGGCTGAGCCCCTAACCCAGGGGTCCTCAAACTTTTTAAACAGGGGGCCAGTTCACTGTCCCTCAGACCGTTGGAGGGCCGGACTATAGTTTAAAAAAAAACTATGAACAAATTCCTATGCACACTGCACATATCTTATTTTAAAGTAAAAAAACAAAACGGGAACAAATACAATATTTGTATTTGCATGTGGCCCGTGGGCCGTAGTTTGAGGACCCCTGCCCTAACCTGTCAAAGCTGATGCGAACTCCAGGTAGTGTCAGAATTCAACTGAATTATGGGACACCCAGCCGGTGTTGCTGAGGTTGCTTGGTATAGAGAAAACCCCATACACATTTGGTGACCAGAAGTGTCAGAAGTGAAGTGCTCGTGCGAGCAGTAAAGGAGACATACGCAGGAGTGTTTGCTCTTGATTACATAAAAACTCAACCCTCGAAGGGCAAAGGAGGCTCTTAAAGCAACTAGAGAGAGAAGCCAGACTCAGGGAGTCTCATCATGCTAGTACAGAGGAGGGGAAAACCCTGCAGGGGAAGCAAAATGAAAACAATTATAGATCATCAGAATACTAGTGAAGGCACTAGGTTCATCATTTTAGGTTGTAAATCCCTTGAAAATCTGGTAATACCGGATCCCTTCTAGAAGAAAAGTATCCCTCCACATGATGGACCTTCTCCTCACTCCTCACTCCTAAAGCCAATCTGGCCTCGAGACCTTGATTTAAGGATGTCTCAGACACCTGATTTTGAAGATTTGCAAAGACATAGCAGGATGCAAAATAAATACTCAGAAATCAGTTGCATTTTTATACACCAATAATGAACTATCAGAAAGGGAAAGAAACAAACAAAAAACCCAATCTCATTCACAATTGCTTCAAGAAGAATAAGATACCTAGGAATAAATTTAACCAAGGATGCAAAAGACCTGTACTTGGAAAATTATAAGACATTGAAGAAAGAAAACGAGGAAGATACAAATAAATTGAAGCATATACTGTGTTCATGGATAGGAAGAATTAGCATCATTAAAATGTCCATAAGACCCAAAGCAATCTACAGATTCAATGCAATTCCTATGAAGACACCAATGGCATATTTCACAAAACAAGAACAAATGTTTCAAAAATTTATATGGAACCACAAAAGACCCCAAATAGCTACAGCAATCTTGAGAAAGAAGAACACAGTTGGAGGAATCATGCTACCTGATATCAAACTATACAACAAGGCCACAGTAATCAAAACAGCATGGTACTGGCAAAAAATAGACATACAGATCAATGGAACAGAATAGAGAGCCCAGAAATAAACTTATGCCTTTATAGTAAATTCGTATTTGACAAAGAAGTCAAAACATGCTATGGATTAGAGACAGTCTATTCAATAAATAATGTTGGGAAAATAGGACAGATAACGTGCAAAAAAAAATGAAACCAGACCACCTTCTTACACCATACACATACAAATTGGACTCAAAACCATAAAAATCCTAGAA